TATATACAGTGGCCGCCGCTAATTGACTTAATTGACTCATTCGCTTATTAGATTCAAAACGGCTGGTCCCGATTTGCACATATACCTACTAATACGCAGCAAACAATTCGTCTATTTGACTCATACGCCGGTTAATAGGGTCATTTGAAAATTAGATAAATCAAGAAAATATATACATACATTGAACAAACGTGTGATAAATGCCATATAAGTCGGTACCGGTATGGATCAATACTGAAAAAGAAGTCTAAAATACTAAACTCGTTAACGAGGAAGAAATATGTGGTGAAAAACGGTCAAAAGAAAATGTGGCTGGTGGTAGTAATGAAGAGGAACTTGATGAGAAACTACCATAAACTAAACTAATACTAAAAGCACTTCAAATTCTACGTAGATTCAGCAAAGAGGCGATTTTGACGTATTCGAGCAACATAAATCCTACGTAGATATGATTATGAAGATGACAGAAGTAGGGAAAATCCAATCAGCCCTGGATAGATTTTTATCAAAAAATTAAATAGATTTTACATACATATTATTTTATTCTATTTTTAATAGAGTAAGCTAGATTTTTATTTTTATACATACCTCGAATCTTAATAAATATTTTTAAATAAGATTTTAATTTTAAACATTATTTAAATTTTTTTGGTTATTCGTCTTATTGACTCATTCGGTTAATGGACTCAAATGGCCTGGTCCCAAAGTAAGTCCAATAAGCGGCGACCACTGTATATGTATAACAAAACCCAAAATAAAATTTATTTATTTTACTTGATCAATCATATTATTATATTACCTATTTAATTTATTCGAAAGCTATTTTAAAACCATTTGTTAGACTTACATGCGTGTTTCATTAGCTTCTAATGCACGTGGTCGTTGAAAATATGAAGAATGAAGGTAGTCGTTAATTGTCAAAAAAAGTTTTGGTAGAAGAGCGAAAACCTGAACGAAGACGCTATTCTGCTACCAGCGACGGTTATCCTATGGTGAAGATATATCGATTATTTCAATTTTTTAAGTGTTAAACATAAGATTAATTTATTGATGGTAGTAGATGGTTACTTTTTATGTTTCACTTCAAATCAATTTTTTAAAATAGCAGCTACTAATGTGGCTGAGTGACGTGACTAGGACAGTGTGGTTAAGAGGTGAAAATTTGTTACCGCTATGTAACCACTATGTAGTGTTAACCCCGAAAACACACGGAGAAGGGAGTTGATTCTTTGAAAAGATTCAAGGAGAAGAAAAAAAAGATAAGAGCACCGAATAGACGTCGGCAATTATGACTCCATACACACAGAATATGTGGGTCAAGATTTTGATTATTTAATAATTGTTCATAAACAGGACTAAGATTTATATGCGTTTGCATATTTCTCAAAATTAATTAAATATCAAATAATTTCACAATTTAGTTTATCCTGGATTAAATAGAATAATTTTTTTCTCCATATTTTGAATATTATTGCCTATTTATAGATTTTTGAAAATTGTATTAATTTTGTTAATTTTTAAACTTAAGTTTTTATAATATTGTTAAAAAATTAAAATAATTTTATGTAGACAAAGATTTGAAAATAGATATAGCTTATTTAAAAAGTAATTTATCTATTATATATATATATATATATTGGATTTTAATCTATGGTAATAGAATAAAATAATAATACAGTGAAACCTCGATGTAGTGAATAACCATGGAGAATGAAAAAATGTCCAATATTGAGAAAATCTCTACATAGTGGATGTTTGGAAAAATTACTAAATGTTCATTATAAGAAGATGCTATAAAGAATTAGTTATACATTTACATACAATTAAAATTGGTGTATATTGAAATATTTATTTATTATTTATTATATATATATATATATAAAATGTAAGCAAGCGCGCCCGCAGGATAAAATCTCACCCGGAGCAAGATTAAAATTCTAAGAGTCACAACGTGTATCTAAAAATATATGAGAACAAAATCTAATACCATAGAAATCGGTACTCGGAAAAATTTATAGTCTTAAGCGATATGCAGTCTTGCGTAAACATTGTAAACAAATAAATACATTCAAGATTATACATTTTAGAATATCTAAAAATATGATAAATTTTACTAAACTTCATAAATGGATCTCAATAAAATTATGTTATAATTAATAAACGTGGTATTAAATTAACAATAGTTTTGAAACAAAAATTCCCAGTAGAAGCAATGGCCCCTTTGCCCCCCCTGCCCATGTATGTAAGTAGTAAAAAGAGAGTATAAAAATGTAATTTTTACAAATTACAAGCATCTAGTAAAATATTATTCACTTGTATTCTTCGTTAAAGATGTTTTTTGGTCAATTAATGCAAAATATTAAAATTAAATAATTAAATTTACCTAGGATTCGCTTATACAAAACCTTTCTGCTAATATTGGTACACTTAGATTTTCCATTTCCTTAGTTCAAATATTTTTTTTTTCTTCTAAGATCAATATTTTTCTTTTATTACCATACTAATAATCAAGGCTCATAACTTATAGCTCTAAAAAAGGTTGTTATAAGCGCTTAAATATGCTCTAAAAAGTATTCATGTAAGCGCTTAAATATGCACTAAAAATACTGAAATATGCAAAAAAAAACGTTTGTATATAAAAATTATTATTTTATTATTATTATTTATTATATTATTTTATTATTTTAGCTTCTATTATTAAAAAAAAAAAAATTAGGTACTGAATTCACGAAACGAACTAGCATGCATACAATACGAAAAATTGGAAACGACTGCAAAATGTTAATGAAAAATAATCTGTAAATAATCTGAGAATGATGGTATCGGAATATCTAGATAATGATATTGGAATACTCGAATACCTAGAAACTATAAAAATAAAATACTACAGTACAAGCTACAATTACATATATACAATTATAATGGTTTCTTTATCGATGGGATTACAAAGTTTCGGGCGTACACACTCACTACGTCACACGTCGACTAAACTCGTATATAGTTCATCTGATATTATATAAGTTATATGAGAAGAAAAATTAATTAACACGAATTAATTACTAATATGAACAATTAATATGACTATAATTACTTGTTATTTTTAAGAAAAAATGTTTTAGGCTATTAAAAAATATTTTAAAAAAATCAATGATAAAAATCATACAAAAATCCAAAAATAAGCAAAAAAAGCGAAAAAAAGTAAAATAGTACTTATACTTCGAAATATGCAAAAATATGCAACATAAAATTTCGTATCTAGCTTCTTGGTTATCTGAAACAAATTTATAGCTCACATAGGTATCTCTAGGACCTTTCAAAAAAAATATGCAAATGCTAGAAGTTATGAGCCCTGCTAATAATACTATGGTATTGTTCATGTTAACTTAGATACGCGTTCACGTAATTTACAGCACACAGCAGTGTGTAACCGAACACTTAACCGAACCATTTATTTTTCGAATAGGAAAATCATTAAGCTAAGATAAAATATGAACGAAATTTTTAAAAGGTAAATATAGTATTTTTATTACTTAACATTTTCGATATGTGCATGTAATGTGTCCATTTATGAGAGATAATTTTTAATTTTGATTCCAGTTTTTAGAGTCCACGTCCACTTTATTAAGAGGTTATAACTCTTATTATATACATACATTTTTGCCGTGAATTTCAGTGTCCACTATTGAGAGGTGTCCATTAATAGAGATTTCACTATATTACATTTTATGAAATTATGTATTGTAGGTATTATTATGGTAAAAAAAAATTAATAAATTCCACAGAGAAAAAATTCAATTAGGACCTAACCCTAAGAGGGGATATTTAACCCATAACCTCCCATCTATGGACATGGATTATATAATTTTCAGAAAATTTTAATGGGTATTTTATCAACGCGGCTAAACACACTGAACAGAAACCAAAATACAAAATAATGCAACTACTTCTTGAAAAGTACTACTATTAACACGAGACTCAGATTTCGGCCAAGGCCTTACGCTACATCACTTTCTTTTGACGCGTGGCGTTATTCGAGAGCACGGTTGTACGAATCCACGAGGAATGATTCCTTAAACCCGGGTCGTCTTAAGGACCATCAGCACTGGACCACGGACACATGATAGTGTCGGTACCGCCACCTCCACTGAGTTATTTGTTCGTTTTATCGAAGTAAGCTCCTCGACCTAGGGGGGCACCGTTTCCGGAGTGGATAGCCAATCCGGCGTACGGCGGCACTAATCCTCCCATGATACCACTAGATTTTAAGTTGGCGTTGGAGGGTCACCCGAGGAATTTCACCCCTCCCACTATTCTGGCTATTCAAGCCAGATAGTGGTGGGTCGTGATTAACTTTGAACATTATTATCCAATTAAATTTAAATATACAAATAATTCATAACAAAAAGTTTGGACTTTATGAACGATACAGTTTTGCTGATATTCATTAAATTAACTTCTATAGTTTGTTTTTCTCAGGGAAAAAATACAAGTTTTTCTTGATTCAGGAAATAGCAAAATAATATACATGTCAGTTTAAGAAAACAGTATATTATTCTGATACATAACTCTATAAGATAGTACACGAACAGTACAAAAGATCAGTCACATATTTAATATAATTAATGCCAATTTTAAATCTCAGGCCTCACTTTATTTATAAGTAGTGTGTTTTTTTTTATTATTATTAATAATGTTTTTTAATATTAATCAAAATTACAGCTCTTTCAAAATTACTTAACATTAAGAATTTTACAACATTTTATACTCAAAAATGTTATTAAAAATGAGTCAATAGATTAATAGATATATTTTTATGAGTATATATTTTATTTATATTGATGGTTAACAAACAGATGAGCCCTTGGTTTGGTAATATATATATATATATATTAAAGGGAAAATAACCAATTTAATTTACACATTTTAAGAGCTACAATAAAAATCAGAATATAAAAAATAATATACTTGAATGTTTTGAATAAAAAAACAATTTTGAGTAATAGTACATTTTTTTTATTAGTCATACAAATTAAAGATAAAAACGTACAATACTTTAAAAGAAAAATCCTAAGATTTTGCCTCCTAAATGTTTCCGTCTGGCTTCTTCGTGATCCATAATACCTCCACTAGTGGTCAGCACTACAAATCTAAAACAAAAATTTAATTTATTTTTACTTCATAATTTTAATTTATCATTTCATCTTAATATCTAATATTTTTTTGGGGGATTTTTAACTAAAATGATAGTTTTAATAATAAATATAACTTCTTGATAATAAAATCCAATTCTTAATTACAATTTATAATCTTAAAAAAAAAATGTCAAATTAATTTTTTTTTTTTTTTTAATAACAATTATACTACTTGATATGTCAAAAAATACCAATTGGATACATAAATAGGTTGCCATAAAATAAATATGTTTTAACGGTAAGCTTTATTAAATTTAAATTAGGAAAAATGCAAAAAAAATACATGACTCATAGTAATAAAAAAATTTAAATCAAGGGTTGCAAGATTTTTTAGTACAAATAATTTACTATCAAAAAACAATAAAAAAAATGTACAACTTCATATGTAAATTTATCATAAATAAATTATAAATTATATGAAAGCAATTAAAGATTAAGTTAATGTCATTCGAAAATTACAACTGATTTTGTTAAACTGTAAATTACATTTCTGAAGTATTTATATTTGTATATACAAGTTAGCAATGTAATAGCATAATGCATAATACATTTGAAAATAATGTAGATTGATTATGTAGCAAGCTCATGAAAAACATTTAACAATAAATATTTTAGTCGGAACTTGCATTTTAAACATAAAAATAATTAAAAACCTATTTTAAAATCATTATAAAAAAATAATTAATTGATGGGTACCAAAATTTAAAGGCTACCTTTATTAAAGATATAATAGAGAAAATATAATGTAGCCTTTAAAAAAAATTCAAGATATAATAGTAATAAACCATAAGCCATAAATGAAAGTTATTAATGGATAAAAATACAATATGTATATGACATAAAATGATAAATAAATAATTAACTGAAATATAATTTTTAAGCTAATATAAGAAGAATTTATTAAACCAACTTTCCATGGCTTTCATAATAAATGATTAAAAGTAGTGTTAATGTGTGTAAATGTTTGTTATTTGAGAACTTAAATTTGCAACATTTTTTAATATTTTGAGAATTTATTACTATTAAGCCCTTATCATAAAGTCTACTGTTTAAATACATATTTATACATGGAAAAAGATAAGAATAAATATTTTGAAAATTATTTTTGATTTTACTTTCTAAAAGAGAACAGACACTTTTCTAAGAAAATTTCCATTGAATATATAGTAATTTTTATTTTAATTAGAATAAATTTAATAATTGTAGTCTCATAAATTATTTTAATTAGATGAATAAAACTGTGTTTACAAGTTAGCAATGTAAAGATATGTAAATACAATACATCTGAAAATAATGTAAAGAGCAATTTTGCAAGCTCATAAAAGGAAAATTACCACAAACTAAATTTCCAATACAATAAGATCTTGCACAGCTAAATTGATCATTTAAATATAAAATTTTTAAATGCCTCAATAAGAAATAACTTCATAATTAGTTATTACATACATAAATATATGCAAAAAAGACTAAAAAATAAGCACACACTGCTGCTGAAAATACAATTTAGGCGAACTCAACTGCATAAGCATTTACTACACCTTAAAGTAATTAATATACATATCAATTTAAAAATTTGAGATAATAAAACTTTAGTTGCCAGTCATGAAACAATCTTTCTGCACCAAAAGATTCTACTATGTTTTACAGAGATTGAGATTTATGATGTAGATAATATTACTTTTGAAAATTATTTTTAATTTCTGTTCAAGAATAGACACTTTTCTTAGAAAATCTTCATAGAATATTATGTCAATTTTATAATTATTAAGAATACTTATGAAATTTTTAGTTTTAATTAGTAGTTTGTACAAAATAAATAAAACTGTGTTTACAAGTTAGCAATGTAAGGACATGTAAATGCAGTACATCTGAAAATAATATAAAAACCAATTTTGCAAGCTCATATAAAGAAAATTATATATACGTAAATTTCCTATAAATAAAATCTTGCATAACGAAACTTAATAACTAATAACTATTTAAAAATTAAATACTATGCAAGTGTTAAATTTCTTAAAAAATGCTTGTAATATTTCATAATTAAAGAACCTATTACAATTTTTTTAATAAACAAGAAATACAAAAATTTGTAAACACAATAAATCTAAAAATCTGTAACATAATGATAACATATTACTCAATTCAAATAACTCAATTTTAAATACAAAATTATCTTATTCTAAACACAAATATTACCAAATTGAAAAGATCTAAAAAATAAAATTTGTAATTTAAAATTATATTAAAACTATTAAAAAAAATTAGTTAAATAAAACATCTGAACAAAACTTAGTTAAATTTTTATATATTATTATATTGGTTTTATTCATACAATATGTAATAAATTCATGTAATAAATCCCAACTAAATTATGAACCAATATAGTCATCTATATAGTTTTATTTGTTTAAAATAAATTCTTAAAACTTATGAAATATAAATATAAACAATAATGGCATAAATTATGACTTGAAATGTATAAAATGAATGCGTATGTTTCAATAATTATATTGTGAGATAAGAAGTATATATATAAATATATAAACCTATGTTAATAAAAATTATACAAAAACATAAAAAGATACCAGAGAATCCATGGTTTTTACTTTATAAATAAATTTTGAATCTATAAAAATTATAGTAGTCATTATTATAAAAATAAGTACTGTTAAAATATTATGTATGTAAGTAGTGTATTTAAAATAGACAAGATTCTAATAATGAACTTCTTTTCAAAATTTTACCAAGACAAATAATGTGAAGAAAATAAGATCCAGATTCTTCTTCATCAACCATATCTATGTTTGATCGCAACACTTTTCTGTAGTCAAAGTGGAATAAATGCAAGACTGGCTGTATATCTAATTCACAGTAAGCCCTACAATTATTCCCCCATGACAACAGTAATTATTCTTAAAATTATATTGACATTAATTAATGAAAATAAAAAAAAAATATAAAAAAATAAAATAAAACACTTAATCAATAGTATCAAAATAATTAATAACTATAGAAAATATAAATACTAAAATAAAACACTAGTTTTTGATAAAAGATTATTATATCATATTTACCCGAATTGTCTAGATGGCAGAAGTTGGTTGGTCCATTTTTCAATATTTCTAATAGGTACATCAAATCTTGGAGAAATGACACCACATTTATTTAAACGACCAGTCAAGTTGACAACAACTTTACCAGCTCTATGATCATCAACTATTTCAAATTCACCAATGTATCCTAAAAATTAAATATTGACTATTATTTAACGTGTTTATAGATCAATATGTAAAATTCTGAAATAATATCCTAACTTATCAAATCAATCATTTTTCTAATTAAGATATTATTTAAAAGAATTATTTGTATCAATATAATTCCAGTAATGTAATTAATTAATTTAAATAAAGTATGAAGAGGAAAGTTTCAAAGAATAAATTGACATAATTACATTTTATTATGATCAACAAAAACAGATTCATTAAATTTGTTTCAACAGTTTAAAATGTAAATAAAAGATATTCAATTTAAAGATTTAAGCTTAGTACAGATTTTTTAAATGTAAGTAGTATTATTACATACACAGAAGTTATTGTTTATTATTGTTTAAAAAGATATTTCAAATGTATTAATATAATTATAAAAAATGAATATGCATAACAAAAACTCTACAATCACTTATTCAATGATTAATGATGTACTCATATAAAAAAACTTAGTTTAATATCACTCAGTCTAGTGTATTACTTGCTATTTAATTATTTAAGCACATTTTCATACATGAACAAATTAAAAAAATAAATAATAATTAATGTTTTGGTCTATATATCTGATGTAATCAAACTTTAGTTAAATTTTACAATTTGAACCAACAATCAACTAAAATGAATACAAAAAGTAATTATAATGAGACTGTTAAAAATTTGTATGTATTACCAAAAATTAAACTTCAGAATAAGGAATAAAATATTAACACCTCTGGTTCACATAAAAACTAAAATTTAATACTCCAATGCCCAGCAGAGGAAATATATCTGAGAACATTAGGAATAAAATCGATTGAAATCGAAACAAAACGTTGAACACTTACCATGGCTCATCATGACTTTTAAGAACTTAATTATGACTTTGGAACACGGCCTGATCAAGACTTGGCGTTTGCCTCGTTTCTCGGCGTTGTTGATGGATTTGAGAGCATCACTCAACACGTTCATACGCACCATCTTGACACTTATTTAAAACTTAACTTCTGAAAAGCAAAAATAATTCGGTTAAAATCGCAAAACCGAAGGTTTATCGTTTAAAGGAGGCAACAATCCGTGGAAAATCCCCGGGATCGTTGGCCAACCTCAAACGCGAACGGACAATACGTCCGGAAACGAGTTGCGGCGCTCAGTAATCCACTTGCGAATCATTGCACAGATACCAGATTGTTGACGTACACAAAACGCCGATTGAGAACAATCGGTTTACGAGGACGGAAGCACATAATTACCTGGGATTACGATGGATGAAGAATACGATCAGACAACTCAAAGCATTACACCGAGTGCGAATCCGAAGTAAAAAGACTGAGATCCGAACGGTTGTCAGCAGGGCGCACAGAAATGAGAACACGATTCATTGAGGTTATGTTTATGTGCTGATAAAATTCCGTGCACCGCTTCTCGATTCGGATCGGCAATTCTTATTTCATCAGCCGTTTTACACAATTTTCGGATTATAATTTATCAAAACCACAAAGATTCTTTGGTCGTGTTCTATTATGACTATATTAAAAATATTAAAAAAATCTCAAATATATGATATTTTGTTGTATCATAGACATATAAAAGTCTTTTTATATATATATATATATGTGTTGTATGAATAACGTCATTCTGTTGGCAATGAATATTACGCGCGAAATTTAAAACTTCACATTCAGGGACAATATTTGCATTTTAATTTAATTTTTCTATGGTTTTTGATCTTCAAATTAAATTATTTAAAATTTATAAGCCATCAATTAAATTCAGGCGTGTTCTGACGGATTAGAAGATCGGAAAAAATTCCAGATGTGCCACGTTTAAAGTTATTTTTTTGAATGCTGAAAGAATTTATCTACTTTAATTCGTTAATTATTTAAAATTATATTAAACTGATTATGAAATTTTTTAAATTTATAAATTACGCATCTTTTAGTCGTTTACAATTAAAAACTAAAAATAAAAATAAACAATACTCCTAAGTCGAATGAGACTCCGCGGTGCTATAAGCATTCAATGAAAAATTCTAATCTACGATTACTTTTTGAAAAACGATAAAAATATAATTCAATTAGATTAAAAACCGGTATGCCATATTTTTAACATATTTAGTCAGCTTTTCGGAATTATTGAGTAAACAGTTGGAAAATTCGTAAAATGATTCCTTCGATTGTACAAAGTAGATAACATAATCTGTATCAAATCTTGAAAAAAAGCACACACATCATGATAAAACCAACAAATTCTTCGTTTCACTAAAAATTAAATGAAATAAAACTCATAAATATAGGTTCATTTTAATATCATGTAAATCGTTGACTTTAAATTTTAAGTTATTTTTTTGTAAAAATCACCTATTTTCAAAAGTATTGATGAAAACTTTTTTCCGTGAAATATTATTAAATTTTATTTTAATTAATGTTCTGAATATATTTATTGAAAAAAAAAATTTGGATGAAAGTCCAAAAGTTCAAGTTGGATTGAAGTCTTTCCTCACTCTTTTACTCATACTGTTGGAACATAAACATTTTTCATATTCATGAATGCTGACTTTACCTTTGCAATTCTAGATCTTATTTCCATAACGTATCTGCGGTCTCCGTTAATTCAGCTGCCTAGGTATTTAAAATGTTCCCCTTGTTCAAGCAACCAATTTCCTGTTTGGATATTAATTCTACGAATTCAGTCTAACCTTTTGGCACAGAATAATATTAGTCTTTTGCTGGTATTAATAATTAAATAATATTTTTGGAAGCATCTTGCCATCTATTCTAGTGTTTTTTCCAAATTGTGCTCATTATTGGCTAAAAATGCAATATCATCAGTGAATCTTATGAGATTTCTCCACCCACTTTTATGCCTATTTTATTTTTGATAGGTGTTTCATTAATTTCTTAAATAAACTGTTCGACAAATATTAAATAGAAGTGGTTAGGGTAGACATCCTTGATTTTTATCTATAAATATAAATATCAACTAAAATTATAAATTATAAATGTCAGGAACGGCAAGAGAATGGGGCAAGGAGGACTAGAGCTCCTGGGCCCCTCATTTCAGCTTTTAATACAAAATGATTTTATAATCACATTTGCCATAGCATAAGATGTAAATTTAAATATTTTTACTGTACTAAAGTATGTACAAGTAGTATGTATAACTCAGTGGCGTAGTTACGGGGAGGGTGTAAGGGGTTTCCACCCCCCCCACAGATTTTTTTTTTAATGAT